CCTACCTGTGCCCGCCGCCCAGCCCCATCCCGGCTCGGGGGTCTCTATACCCGCGGAGGGAGCGGGTTGTGCGAACCAAGTAGCGTCTATTGAGAAGGGTCTATGCAGGCGGGGGCGGGTCTGGGTGGGAGGGATGTTTGCAAAAAAGACACCCCCTAGGAGCTTGGGGAGGAAGGGTCTCCCTGCTGAGTGTGCGCCCCACCCGGGGCAGATCTGATTCTCAAAATAGACTCTACATCTTCTGGGGAGGTGTGTGTGGGCGACCCCAGAGCCGGGAGGGGCCGCCTCGGTTTCCCAGTGAGGGCATTTTGGCCCAGTTAGGGTCGGTGCATGAGCGCTGCCCCCAGCCTGCCTCTGGTTCCCGCCGGCACCGGCCTCGCCAGCGCCCTCCCTCTCCCCCGCCTGTCGTGACCACACGGCTGGCTCAGCCTCCGGGTCTAGAAGCTTCTGCTACCAGACTGGGAGCTCGGCCCGAGCTCCCCAGGCTCCTGTGCATCCAGCACTGAGTAGGCGCCTGCTGTGTGCAGGACTCCAGGCCCTGGCCTCGGGAGCAAGAGAAGAGTTGAGGCGCCTTGCAGGCAGCCCCCTTCTCAGCCAAGTCCCTCGCAGCCCCCACCCCACCCCAGCCTTGCCCTCCCAGGTCTGAGGTTGCAGCGCTGAGGCTTCTCCTTGAGGCTGCACGTGTAGACTTGCCTCCAAAAAAATCCACCCGCAGCCTCTCCTCAGCCCAAGCCCAAACTCTGGGGAGATGGGGCCTCCAATGGCCACCGCCCGGCACGTCTAAGCCGGATGCGCCTCGGGCTGGGAGGCCAAGAGCCTGGTGCAGTACCAGGATGAGCCTCACACTCTGGGTCTTGCACGCTGCAGCCGGGCCACAAGGGGCTCGTTCAGATTCTGTGTGCAGTCCATTCCCAGAACGTTAGACACGGCCAGAATAAAAAAATAAATATAAGAACACATTCCTGGGCCTGGGAGGCTTTCCCCAAGGCTCAGGCTCAGGTGGGCCTGGTTCTGCCGCCTGGGACAGACGGCAGGGGGTAGGGGCTGGAATTCCCCGGGAGACCCCGCTGCTGGTTTGGGTCTGAGGCCCTCCCTCCATGGAGAATAAGTCAGTCTTCCTTCCCTGAGAGACGCACAACTGGACTTGGAATCTCATGTTCCACCCCCACATAGACAGTGCTCAAAATGTGGACTATGTTCTCTGTTCATTCCATGAGTATTTCCTGAGCACCTGCTGTGTGCCTGGCCCAATGCTGGGGCCACTTGGGAAACCTTGGTGATAACAAAGATTATCACTATTTTATTTCCAAATATGTGGGCTAGGCACAATGCTTCCTTAATTTTTTTTCGGTGGGGGGGATATTATTCACATACCATAAACCATATTTATTTAGAGAGTAGGGTCTTGCTCTGTTGCCCAGGCTGGAGTGCAGTGGTGCTATCATAGCTGACTGTAACCTCAAACTCCTGGGCTCAAGCAATTGTCCTACCTCAGCCTCCCCAGTAGCTAGGACTATAGTCATGTACCACCACCACCATGCCTGGCTAATTTTATTTTTTTAGAGATGGGGGGGGTCTCATTATGTTGCCTAGGCTAGAGAATTGCCATAGTAGAGTGTACAATTCAGAGCTTGTAGTATATTCACAAGGACCATGCAAGACTTTAAATTCTTAAAATAATTATATGAGATATTATTATCTACATTTAATAAGTAGGGAAACTAGTGCCCAGAGAGGCTAAGTAACTTGCCCATGGTCACCCAGCTGTGAACTGGCAGAGTGAAGATATGAAATCAGACCATTGAGACCAAGGCCTGACTCTGAACAAGAAGTTTGACTGCCTCTGAGGATAGGGTCAGAGGATGGAAAGTCATCCATGAAATGAGGCCCTATTGCGGAAAGAAACAATAGGGAGCCACTGCAGTTTGTTGAGCAGGTGAGTCGTGAGCTTGAAGTTCTACTAAGTAATCTTACAAAGTGACAACATTTTTTCCTGAACGCTTTTACTTATTTGTATTTTTATTTATTTATTTTTTTGAGTCAGACTCTCACTTTGTTGCCCAGGCTGGAATGTAGTGGCACGATCCCGGCTCACAGTAACCTTGACCTCTTTGCACCAGGCAATTCCTTCTGCCTCAGCCTCCCAAGCAGCTGGGACTACAGGCATGCGCCACCATGCCCGGCTAATTTTTTAAAATTTTTGTAGAGACGAGGTCTTACTGTGTTACCCAGGTTGGTCTTCAACTCCTGGGCTCAAGTAATTCTTTTGCCTCGGCCTCCCAAAGTGTTGGGATTACAGACATGAGCCACCACACCTTGCTTCTTGAATCCTTTTATAAGAGCCCTCATGACCTAACAACCTCTGAAAGGCCCCGCTTCCTACATTGGAAAGTAAGCTTCAATATATGGATTCTGGAGGGACACAGACATTCAAACCACCGAAGGAGTTTAAGGAAACGCCATGTGGGGAGTGTGGAGGTGAGACAGGGAAGGACAGGCCACCAACACAAGTGTGATGTTAAGCCAGTTATCGTTGTGGGCAACGAGGGCTTAGTCCCGCTGCAGGACTCTGGGAGACTGTAGGACACGCCTCAAACTTAGCCTGCCAGAGGGGTGAGGGAGCTGGGGTATGTTTATACCGAGTTCCGCCAGTCACTGACTGGGCGGCTGAGGGCTGACCTCACGGGCACAGAGTGGCAGTGCAGGTTCCAGGAGCCAGAGGAGGCCCCAGGCAAAGAAATGCAGGCGATGGTGGTCAGATGTGGGACCAGAGCACACTGAAGTGTGACGGTGAGAGGGTGGGGCGGGCACTGACAGATAATGACCTCTGTCTGGAGTTTGCGCCTGAGCAGGCGTTCCTGGCAGGGAACTGGCATGATTAAGGGCCAGAGACTGTGACTGGCAGGAGCACAGGGTGAGGGTTGGCGGAGGTAGAACACAAGGCCAGGAGGTGAGGGGCAGTGATGCAAGGCCACAGCCTCCTCTGGGCACGGAGGCTTTTCAGAAGGCCACCCTGAAGGAGGGCTGGTCTACAAGATACCCGCCAGCGGCATGGCCAACCCGTGAGAGCTTGAACAGAAAATTTACTGATCAGGTCTGGAGAAAATAAGTCTGTGTTCAAGCGAATTGCTGATGGTTCAAAAGCAGCCCCACAGACGTTGCCATTGGGGGAGTTATATGTCCTTTGGAGCTATGATAGTGCCAAGTAACCCCGGTCACCTGTGATGTCCAGGAGAGGCAGCGGGTGAGCCAGCAGGTGCTGCAGACGTGCTGTCTGGCAGTCAGATTTGAGCCAACCGTGGCCCTGGCCCACCCGCCACGTAACTGCCGCTGGTCCCTCTGATTAAGAACGGCAAGCACGGAACAGGCCATGCCCAGAAGATCTGGAATAATCAGCATCAGCGTTTGCCTCTGCCATCCAAGACTGCAAACACGCTCTCATCTGACCTAATCCACGGTGTTAATGACGGCAGAGCAATTTTGAGAGGCAACTCACAGCATCGATAAGGAGAGGAAAAGCACCATGCGCTTAGGAGGTCGAGCTCCTCACGGAAGAGACAGCTGCCTTCCCCCCCACCATAGGCACTTCTTGGAAGTACTGCCCTCTGTCTGCCCTGTGTGAGCCTGGGGATGACAGGAGAAAAGGGTGTGATGTGTATGGGACAGGAAAGTGAGGCTGTCCATATTCCACCTAGAACTAACTAAAAAAAAGGCATTGTTTACCCTTGGTAAATGCACCTTGAGCCAGGCACATGGCTTGTTGGGCAGAGTGTGGGCTTCATCTGTGCCCCACTCACTCCCTCGGCTAGATGCCCTTGTGCAGTAAACACCCTGTACCACTGTACATGGCAGCCCCAGGGAGAGAAGGAAAGATAGGACATGACAGGAACTTGAAACCACCGAAACAATAAAGAGGCAGGGGAGATGCAGTGTCTGATTCCATCCATTAATAGAAATCCTAGATGGGGCTTGGAGACCATCTAGGTTAAATCCCTTATTTTACTGCAGTGCTTACTACAGAGGAGGCGTGATGGACTCAAGGTCACCTGACTCTTCCCTCAGTAAGAAACTCCACTGTTTTTGTTTTTTTTGAGTTGGAGTCTCACTCTGTCGCCCAGACTGGAGGGCAGTGACCGCTCCCAGCCACCGCAGCCTCGACCTGCTGGGCTCCGGAGACCCTTCCGCCTCAGCCTTCCAAGTAGCCGGAATTACAGGCATATGCTACCATGCCCAGCTGATTTTTTGATTTATTGTAGAGATGAGGTCTCGCTGCCCAGGCGGGTCTCGAACCCGCGGGCTCAGGCAATCCACTCACCTCAGCCTCCCAAAGGCGCGGGATTACAGGCTGAGC